CTCTCTCAAATAAATAAATAAAATCTTTAAAAAATATATATAAAATTGTCTTATCTTTCTTTCTTTTTTTTTAAAAGATTTTATTTATTTATTTGACAGGGAGAGACTCAGCGAGAGAGGGAATACAAGCAAGGGGAGTGGGAGAGGGAGAAGCAGGCCTCCCTTGGAGCAGGGAGCCCAATGTGGGGCTCGATCCCAGGACTCTGGGATCATGACCTGAGCCAAAGGCAGCCGCCTAATGACTAAGCCACCCAGGTGCCCCTAAAATTGTCTTATCTTTCTAATGAATTATTGTTTTTATTCTTACGTTATGACTTTCCTTATCCATAATAAGAATTTTTTCTTAAAAGTGTATTTTGTCTGATACTAATGTAATTATCTCATAATACTAATATACTATCTCAGAATACTAGTGTAATTTCTTTAGGTTAATATTTGTTTGGGAGTCAGTTCAGAGGCTGCAACTGGAGAGGAACCACCTAAGGAGAGCTCTAGAGATGCTATCTGGGGGTGCCTGGCTGGCTCAGTTGGAAGAGCATGTGACTCTTGACTTGGTCGAGAGTTTGAGCCCCACTAAAAAAAGCTAAATAAACTTTAAGAAAAAAAAATGTCTGTGCACATGGCCTTGGGCTTGAGCTGTGGCTTTCATCCTCTCTCAGAAAGCTGGTCTGGTCTCCAAAAATGCTTGGCAATCATCCTTAGTTGTCACAAGGAACCTCCATGCCTCTAACACCTGTCCTCAGAAGACTGGTGCTGCTGGGGTGTCCTCTGGGTCTGAAGAGTGTATTCTTGGAGCTAATACCTCTGCTGACCTTGAAGAGACTGGATGTGTTTTAAGTATTGGTGATGGTATTGCTCAAGTACATGGGCTGAGGAATGTACAAGCAGAAGAAATGGTAGAGTTTTCTTCCAAGCTTGAAGCATATGTATCTGAACTTGGAACCTGATAATGTTGGTGGTGGTGTATTTGGAAATGAAAACTAATTAAGGAAGGAGATATTGTGAAAAAGACAGGAGCCACTGTGGATGTTTTAGTTGGTGAGAAGCTGTTGGGTCATGTGTTAAGTGCCATTGGTAGTTGGTTCTCAGAACCACAGGCAAGTTCGCCTGAAAGCGCCAACTTGGGATCATTCCTCCAATCTCTGTGCAGAAGCCAGTGCAGACTGGCACTAAGGCTGTGGATAGCTTGGTGCTAACTGGTCCGTCCTGGTCAACCTGAGCTGATTATTGGTGTCCAATGGACTGGCAAAACATGAAAGATTGACATAATCATTAACCAGAAATGTTTCAGTGATGGATCTGGTGAAAAGAAGAAGCTGTACTATATCTACATTGCTATTGGTCCAAAGAGATCCACTGTTGCCCAGGTGGTGAAGAGACTTACAGATGCCATGAAGTACACCGTTGTGGTTTCAGCTGCTGCTACTGATTCTGCCCCACATCAGTACCTGACTCCTTATTCTGGCTGTTCAATAGAATATTTTAAGGATAATGGCAAACATGCTTCACTCACCTATGATGAGTTATCCAAACAGTCTGTTGCTTATTGTCACATCTCTGCTGCTTGTGAAGACTGTCCTGGTGATGTGTTCTACCTGCACTCCCATCTGTTGGGAGAGAGCAGCCAAAATGAAGGATTCTTTTTTTTTTTTTTAAAGATTTTATTTATTTATTTGA